ATTGGTCAGCTGCGCCACTTAATTTATCACTCTCGAAAATACAGACCCGGTTGGTTTTCCTACAAGCCTGCGTGTGTTTGCATTTGTCAGGACAGAGTCTTGCCCGATGTCCTGGTGCTTTCCAGGCTGATGAATTTTGAGTGATCTTGGACTTCTCTTGCCTGTAGAGAGTGAAGTGATTTTGTTACTGTTCGCCCTGGGAAGGTGATGGAGGGGGCTCACTGCATTTTGAGCTGGCTGCCTAGATGTAAGTAACATGAGGCTGTAAGCTGCCTGCTGAGGGGCAGGGTTAGACCTGAGGGGGTTGAGGTGTTGTGGGTAATGGCAGCTTGAAGACAGGGAGAGACAGTTCTAGAAGGGGACCTGGGTCAACATGTGAGTTTGCGTGGACAGGGGGAAGGGACTGCTTGCATCAGGGCTGGGGGAGGCTTTGGGCTGCCTCTACCCACCAACCTGTTGAGGAGTGGGGAGGGATGCTCTACGAAGTGGGCTGAGTTGATCCAGGGGTAAGATGCAGTGGCTGGGAGGATGGCAGAGAGGTGACCAGATGTGCAGGGGCTGAAATGCCTTGGTTTCCTCCAGACACCTCTTTTACACCTCCCATTCACCCTGTGGCATGACTGCTCTGTGTCTTCTATCCATCTGCTTTACAGGTCCTGGGATGGCTCTTTAGCTCATGTACCATGTCTCACTTTTTGAGTTGTTTCTGGAATGGAGGCTTTGGGGAAGCACAAAGTGTTTCCTGTCATCTGTTGCTTCTTCAGATACCATCTGCCTGATGGGGAACTCTGTCTGGGGATTGCCTCTCCCCCACATCATGTAGCCTCGTGCTGCTCCTGTCTTAGCAGTACATGTCAAAAAAAGTTCCTTCCAATACTTGCAGCTCTCTGGCAATTGGTAGTGCAGCTGATTTGATTGAGCACTTCACTTTGCATCTCAACCATCCATTTCCAATTCAAAATCCCTGGGTATAGTCCATGGTGCCCAGCTGGCTTTCTACTCTAATATCACTTTTCCTCATCAATACTGATAGAGCACTCCCTTTTTTCCCTTCACATTAAACAACATTAAATACTGGGAAATCTCCTCAACATCCTGTCCAAGAAAAAAGATAATGCCCACTTGCTTGTGTAGCTTTTCTGCAGTATCCCCGTCCCCACTTGCTGGTATCTCAGTCGACTAAATGATTCCCCCAGAGGTTTTCTGTTTTCGATAAACTGAAAATGCCATATGTTTTCTGGGTTTTGTTTTGTTTATCTCGGCCACCTACTATCCCAGTTTCATGACAGCCATCCTCACATAAATTTGTTCCCTGTTGTCAGTAATTTATATTCCTTTATATTGGCTGCTCCAGGATTATCTTTTCATCTTCTGAAGGATTATAGAGAAGGTTGTAGGAAGATTTGGAACAGGGACTGGGGTTTTGTAGTGTCTGTGTTTGATGTGTCTGCCCCATGGTGGATGCCCTTGCAAGCTGCTGCACCTACAGCTAGTACCTGCAGTGTGACCTGTTCTTCTCCCCCAAGCCTGTCCTCTTAGCCAGGCAGCGTCTCTGTGTCATCCTTTGTGGGAAGTCTGCATGCTCTGCCACTTTGAAATTTCCTAAATAACCCCTCATGACTTTTTTTTTTATTCTTTTCACTTTTAACTCTCAGGACTAGTTTCTTTGTTTTGTGTGTTGGAAATCTCCCATTATAAAACCTAGTGTTGTGGTGTGTTTGTGCTTTCTGACCCTCGCCCCTTCCTCTGAAGGCACAGTAGCTGGTGCTGCATAGTCCCCCTCGCATCTTCTGAAGCTGGTCCTTCTGAAGAGCCAAGGCAGGATCTCTCCCCTGTCTCCCTGTGCTCTGGCTGGTGTTGGTTAAGCACCTGGGACTCTTCTCTGACATCATAGTTCTGATCAGGATATTGAGCCAGTTTTATCTGCAGGCCAGGCACTGCTCGTTTCTCAGAGTTAGCGGCTGCTTTGAATTCCTTTCCGGCTAAATGTGATTGTTTTGATAAGAAGCCATGGCCATCGCAGGGACCACTGATGGCCTTTGCTTCTCAGGATTTACTCATTTCCTCAAACAGGGTTCTGGAACAACTGAAAAAAGTCAGTTTAACCAAGAGACTGGAACAGAGGATATGTATCTATGGTGCGGGGGAGGCAGTAAGGCTGAGGAGCCATGATGGGTAGATGCAGAGCTCTGCTCCAACAGAGGGCAAGGATGCAGCCCAGCCATTGCTACCCCCTTCCCACTGATCCCCCTCTCAGCAGGAAGATGGGACAGAGCATTTCAAGTAGGGAGTCACGAGGGACTGCTGTTATCTTGGCTTCTTTATTCTTCCTCATCATGCCCTCTCCCCATCTCCTTGTTTCAGCCCCCAAACTGGGGAGAGCCCCAGCCACCTTCCCAGAGGTGTGGGTGGTGCGGAGGGAGGGAAGGCAACAGGGAGGCTGTGTTCCCTGGCCAAGGGCAGAGCTGAGGTTTTATGTAGCTCTGCAGCACTAACATTTGCAGGACTGGCTGCTCTGTGAAACTGCAAAGGTCAGGAGCAATGCGACTGGGCTTCCCTCACTTACCAAAAATGCTGTTGGCCAGAGGTAAGCAACAACAACTCTCTTTGCTTAAGCCATGGCGGGATAGGCTCAGCTGCAGCTTTGGAACTTGGTAGTACCCCCTCCTGATTTCCTTTTTCTTGCCTTTTTTTTTTTAATTCTCTTTTCCCCAGTTACGGGGGAAGGCAGAAATAATTTAGCCTCCAACAGAAGCTGTCTTTGCCAGAAGTCAGATGCTAGTTTTGGTAGTTCTTGGCAGCCTTTGAGTTCAGGGAAACGATGTGGCTTCTGTGTTATTCTGAAATGGCAGGATTACAGTTTCACATTGGGCTATTTTGACGAGGAATAGGCTCTTTTATTTGGAAGTAGTTCTGAATGTACACAATATTTCCAAGGTGTGAGGAGGGGACCCTGAAAATGGGTGTCTTTCTTCCAACTCTTTCAATTATCCCAGTAAAGGCAATTAGCTTTTCCTGTAAACTGCCACCTTGTTGGGTTTTTAAAAGCATGTTATGGAGAAACCAAACATGCTTGAAGACTTCCCTGCCTTGAAGAATATTTGGCACGTATCACACTGTCTTGTTGGTTTTCTTGGGCGAAGTCCCTCTAGCCCATATCAACAAAGTGCCACATTAATTCAGAAAACACACATCATAGAAAAATATGGTAAGAAATACAAAACATAAATATCAGATCCATGGGAAGTTATTTGTGGGTTTTGAAGTATGTTCTCCAGCCCCAAAATGTTGGGAAGTGTTTGATAAGACCAGTCCTCTTGCAAGGTGATTTCTGGAGACTGCAAGCAGGATCTTCCTGCTCTGTGTCTCTACTGCATGGAAGTAGGAACTGTCACAGTGTGTGTGCTGCCTCAGCTTATTTTATTTTATTAAATGTTGCATTCTTGAATGTTGCTTGTGTAGGGAAATACAGTTTTAGTTTGGGGTATGTATGTGTGGTGTGGGTTGTTTTCTTTTTTCCATGTATTCCCTCATGTGTCAGACATAATGGCAAGCTCACATCAAATTATTTATAGCCATGGCATAAAAGATAGAGGGAACTGCAATGTCTCCGAGGCCTGCTTTGTGCTGGAGAAATTGGCTGTGATTAACATTGGTCCTCTTAGCTGAGCTGGGCCACATTCCTCCCCTAACCACAGCTCCCTCTGTGCTCTTTGGCATGTCTGTCAGTGCATCTTCTTTCCCTTCCCTCTCCATGATCCCTTTCTGGTCACCTTGGCTGTGGTAGGGTGCTCATGACAAGGGGCATTGGTGTGACCATGCACCGTGGCAGTGATGGTGGCATGGTTCAAACCAGTGCCAATGTGTGGCAGGCGGTGGTGGCGATGGGAACCAGGCTGGCCCACCATTAAAACCCAGCGCTGCGTGCTTGGCTCTTATCAGGGAGGTTTCTTCCAGCCTTTTGCTCAAGCTTTCCTTTGAAACATCCTCCCCAGCCACAAATCAGTAGGCAGCGCATTTCTGTGGGATGCAGACGTGCAAGCAGAGATGTCTGCTCAGGCTCTGCTGCCTGGAACGGGGACACTGCTGCAAGGGCTTGCAGGGTACCTCAGGGAGAGCTTTTCCAAATTATCCCAGCCTCTGTCTAACTGCTCTGGGAACTGCAGGATTGCTGTCTGGGAGATGTCAAAGCTGAATGGATTGGTAATGGGTAGTAATGGGAATTTAAAAATGGGAATGAATAATGCGTAGTAATGGGATAGACCTGCAGTTCTGCAAGTCAACATGGCTTGTGGGGTGTGTGCCCAGTCTGGACTCTGCTGGGGAGGATGCAGAGAAGTGAGGTTATGTGTGTATAAGTGAAGCAGTGCAGTGACTGCCTCTGAAAGGCATGCAGAAAGCTGGGATTGTTTTTTCAGCTTGCTGATGGATCCAATGACAGACAAACAATTGCACATGTGGTGGTCTGCTGTTCCACCAGGTCAGTGGGTTTAGTTTTCCATCAGTGAGATGGAAAGAAAAGTATTGAGAGCAGGGCAGGCGAGTGTGGGTCAGAATGAAGTGGGTCACTTGAATGGCTATGTGGTGTCAAATAAGATACTCTAAATGTTGTGTGTTGTATTGAGCACAAGCTGGAGTTTGCTGTCCTGAATCCTTAAGCTTGTTCCTGTTGCCATCATCTCTTAACATTTGAGGTTTTACGGTTCCTGCTTCCAGAAGATGATAGCACCTTTATGGTCTTTCCATTTGTCCTTAAGCCATCTGTGAGCTGCCTGGACCTAACCAGCTCACGGCTTTGTAAGTAGCAATAATAATAACAGCAGCAATAATCCACTTTCTCTGTTGCTATCCAAAGTGCTATATACATGCTTCTACGGTAATACAGATCAAAGACGTTGAGACAGACAACCTGTCCCCAGATTTGTTGTATTTTAGATCCACATTATGGCAAACTAATGGGTTTAGTCACCTGCTTGATGGACTTCTCTTTCTTTTCAAAGGACAGATCTGCTCTTAAGTAAAGCTGTGCAAAAACTGGGAAGTGCTGCATCGGAGCTTTTGAATTTGGACAACTTCCAGGCCTGACATCCAGAAAGTCATCCCTATGGGCAGTAAAGACAAAGAGGTAAGCTTTTTCAAGTGTCCTGGAAAAAGAGAGCATCATAGAACGCATCATAGCTGAGTACTTGAGGCTGCTGCTGAACATGGCAGATTTGTCAAGCTCCAGGGTGCAGGGCTGGCTTGGCTGACACCAGATGCCGTGTACAGTCCCCTGGTTTACTAGAACTGTCTCCTTATATGAAATACGCTGCCTTGCCTGGGTCGTGAGTGAGGAGGAAAACAGAATGCCCTGTGTAAAGAGCACTTATTTTGAAAAGCTCTTGAACTTGCAGTAAATCAGAAGCTCTGGGGAAATTTATCCAGCCTTTTAATTAGCGGGACACCAGCTTTTTAGGTTACATTGCTTTGGCTTCAAGCACTGTTGTGACTTGCGTTAGGGAGGTAGTAACTTGTTTGAGCGTTGGGGGGGTTTTTTTGGCTTTTTTTGGAGGGGAGAAGAGGGAAAGCAAATTGTGGTGTGGCAAAACAGAAGCAGAACTAAATATGCATGTGTATTTCATTACACCCCACGCCCCTGGGTTCGCTTATTCCTAATCCTGAGTCTGCACATCCTCGTTGATGTGGGAGGCCATGTACATGTAGGACCTGTTGACCCATTAAAACTGAACCTTAGAGGTAGTATCAGGAAGCACTTCTAGAGCTAATATTAGTATAACTAATGCTGCACTGCAGGCCAGGCAGTTCTCTCTTGGAAATGGGTCACTGAAGCTAAACAAATTCCCCCCATCTGAGGCTCTGACCCATATGTAGATTTCAAACCGAATGAACAAATTGTCAAGGTGCTATTTTTGCATTTATTTTGAATTAGAAATGCTGACACAGTCTCAGTTCTTAGTCAGTGAGATTTCTAGTAGCAGTGGATTTTTCTTAAAGGACTTGGGTGAATGACTCAAGGTTGAAAACTGGGACAAACTAGTTTGGTATTTCTTTTCCTGTCAAATAGCATCTGCAGCCTTAAACAAATTATATATTTGTTGTTACATTTAAAACTAGCCTGGAAATGAAAGACAACTGCCTGCTTCTGTTTACTTGCTTGAATTAATTTTTCATCCTCGACCCGTGAAAGTGGCAAAATTTCTGTTTGGACCCAAGAGAAGTTGCTATTTAGGAAGGCTCCTTTTCAGTCCTCTCAATGCTATATCCACAGCCCTGGAGGCATCTGGCAGATGACCTTTTTCTATAGGAGCTAATTTCAGTGGGCAGCTTCGGGCGCCCGGACACCCAGCGGAGAGGAGAAGGAAAGGGACAGAGATAATGCAACTTCTTGTGGCACCTACTGCTGAGTTTTCAGTGGTGATAGATGGCCCTAGTTGCTGCACGTGGTGACTGTGTTTACTTGCATTCTGCTCACTAAATCACTTTCCCCTAAGATTTATTCTGACTTGCTGAACAGCTTGAGCAGCTTTTAACTGCTGCCTTTTTTTTTTAATGGAAAAGAAAAAACCCAAGTTGATTAACTCCTTCCTACCCCTCCCACCTTTCTCTAAGTGTGGAATTTCCCTCCTCCTGTGACATGTAGCTAAAGGGCAGGATCAACAGCATTCAGAGCAGTACCAGGAACATTAGCGGCTTGTGGACTGCAAATCACAGGGCTAGAAACTCAAGAAGCTTCCCAGGCTGCTCTTGGAAAGGATGTTTATTGCTCCCGTGTATGGAATGCCATGTGCCTGGCTGCTAAATTATTGGTATTACTGTTGAGTATTGAGACGGACGTTAGTTGAGAAAAGGTGACTGTAGGCAAGGCATTGGCAGGCACATGCTCCCTTTCCAAAACTACTGTGCCCATGTGAAGGACAGATGTTTGGCCCTGCTGCTCTGTCCTCTCCCCAGGTGCAAAGTGGGCTCTGCACGGCCATCCAGTTGGTGCAAGCACCAAACAGAATGAGAGGCTTTTGAATAGCTGTCAAAGTGTGTGACAGGGGAATCTTGCAAGGAGCTAAGCTTAACACAAAGCTCTCCCTCCAGAGCAAGCTCTCCACAAGTCCCTGCATAGTCCCTGGGGGCTGCCTGCCTGCTATGAGCCCCAGGGCTCCTGCAAGTCTGCTGTGGGGAGGGACTGCTGGAGATGAAGTGTGTCTCTCCCTCCGCTGCAGGCTGTGTGTCAGCAGTCTGTCCTGCTCCAAGCATGGCTATGCTGTGAGCGGGTATGATTGGTTTAATGGAGTATGTCAAGGGACCGAGGGCAGGATTTGGTGGCGAGCTACTGACTTGTCAGGTCTGGGGAAGTGGTATGTTACAGCTCAGCTTCTCGCACAGAATGAGTCTCTGGCTTAGGGCTGTGGTTTTTATGTTTGTGCACACACACACATTCAGAATATGTACTTTTTTTATATATAATTGAAATGACTTGGATGGCTGATGGCAACACGGGGTTCAGAAATTTGCATTTCTGAAAACAGACAGTCTGGTGATAACACAAGGTGCAGGAGATGAGCAGGGTCGTGACAGTACATGAGCAGAGGATGGCGACTGGGAGAGGGCAGCATTGTCTGCGGGCAGGGGGAGATGTCCTTCTGGAAGAAAGAGAAGTTAAGGGGCTGGAAGGGCATCAATAGTGTCTGGTACCAGTGTTAAGTGGGCTCATTTGTGGCAGTCTGAGCCCTGAAGTTGACGTTGTAACATTTCTTGAAGGGGTCTTGATCTGAGGCCTTTGCTTTCTCCTAAGAGAGTGAAACAGGCATATCACGGGATGAGGGAGTAGTTCATGGGGTTTGGTGGGAAAGACTCATTCCCATCTTCTGTTTCTTCTAAGTCCTGTTTCTGGAGAAAGCATTAGAGTGGTGCAGAGAAACCTTTCTACCTTTCCTTGAATGACAAAGTAAATGATACTGCTTTGCAAAATTTTTCCCTTCTGATTTGGGGTGTCATTTCCCTTTTCCTGTCTCAAGGCCACTGAAAAACCCCAAAGCATCCAGCAGGGGAAATCTTGAAATTACAAGATCATCTAGGTTCAAACCAGCCTTCTGAAGGGGTGTGCAGGAGCTCCTGGCTGTAAATCACAGAAACCAGTGGATGCAGAGCTCTGTAAGGTGCCAGCTTTTGCTGATGGGACCCGGCTGGAGCCCTTCCTGCACATATATCCTTGGTGTCCCTACAGCTGGGGATTGGTGACATACAGTAGTTCCTTGGTACCCTCTTTAGTACTCTTGCTGGTCTTTCTCCCTTGTGAAGTGTCTTCACTTGCCCAGGTAGAAGAAGGTATTGGGTTTGCCTCACTCTGCTTCTGTCCCGCAGGCTGGATGCCAAGGAGGAAGAATGGTAAAAGCAGCATCTTTCCAGGATCCATGGGCTCTTTGAGAGATGATCAGAGGGAGGCCAGATGATCTGCACAACACGCACACCACTGTTTCTCATCTGCAAAGGCAGCATCGGAGCGTTCTCCCCAGCCCTGCACCACCCGGCTTGCCCGATCGTTTCCGGATGTTTCGCAGCTGCGAGTGGGAGGTCCTGGAGCGATCCCTCAATATCCTCCAGGCCAGTGACTTTTACTGGGGCCCCTTGTCTGTGGGGGAGGCCCACGCCAAACTCCAGAGGGAGCCTGTAGGCACCTACTTGGTGCGGGACAGCTCGCAGGGGAACTGCTTGTTCAGCCTGAGTGTGCGGATGCCAACGGGGCCTGTCAGCCTCCGAATCTCTTTCCAGGAGGGCTATTTCCGCCTGAAGAACTGGTTTTCAGACTGTGTGGTCCAGCTGCTGGAGCTGGTGGTGGCAGGGACCCGGAACAACCCCTTACACTTTGATGAGATGGGGGGAACCCCCCTGGTCTTCTCTGAGCCCCTGTGCCGGAGCCGCCGGACAGTGCCCACCCTGCGAGAACTGTGCTACCGAAGCCTCCCCGCTGGTGCCATGACAGGGGACAGAGCAGGGCTGGGGGGCTCCTTGGGGATGTGTCTGAGGGAGGAGGTGGTTTCACCCCTGCACAGAAGGGGAGGGTCAGAGGGGAGTGTTGTCCCCAGCCCTTCTCTGTCCTGGGCTGGGAGATGATGCCGTACATGTGGGAGACAAAGGGAAATGCCTGTTATGTGGCTGTGCTGGTGGGATGTGTGCCACGCCAGTGGGGCTGGACTGGCTGCTGGCAGAGGAAAGGCGAGGGCAGAGGGGAGCACGGTTTGAACCCGCTGGCTGTGACTGATGTGTCCTTGTATGTGCACAGTGTGTGACTTTGCCCAGAGATGCCTGGGGTAAAGCCAAACCTGAAGAGCAGAGATTTCCACCATGACCAAGTCCTGCTCTTGGCTCCATTTATAACTTAAAAGCTTAAGAAGATGACTTGCCTGTCCTCCCAGGTCAGCCCTATGTTTTCTTCTACCCCAAGTGCTTGAGCTCATTTCTGCTTCAAACCTGCCCTTGTGAAGTGGTGCAGCTGAGTCCAGTCCCGCAGCAGTGCAGCTTGGACATTGGTGGGCGTGACCCCTGTGCTGACTGGATCCCCACGTAGCTGGGGCAGAGTGAGAGCACGTTTCACTCCTTGCAGCACAAATGCGATGCCAGTTACTTCAGAGGCCAGCGTTTGCACCAGAGTGAAACCATTGCAGCCATGTACGATGCAGGCAGCTTCACTGGCTTTTGCATTGCTTTATTTAATCGGATTTTTGTGAGTGCAGATGGGTTATGCTATACCAAGGGCATGGCATTCCTGCAGAGGTAACCCTGATCCGGAGAGTTGTGTCTACCCTGGGAGGGTGTGAAGAGATGGGATCCAGTGCCCTTTCTTCTGCTCATGTGATAGTGAGCTGCTGCCATCTATTGAGCATCAGAAGATGTTTTGGTTTTGCCTCCAAAAAGGCAAAGATTTTTTATATAAAACTTCTAAAATTTTAATAAACATGTTTTTATATTGATTTTTAAAAGTCAGTGAATGCATGGAGATATCTTCATTCCCTTGCAGTGCTGAAAAACCAGTTAGTTTAGCGCCAAGGCATGGCAGTCAGGCAGAAACTGAACAAGTGAATTTCTTATAAAGACCAAAAACAGCGCGTAAATGAGTGGTCATAGCTGGGAACACTAAACTTAATTAATCTTATAGCGTAATTAATTGAAGAATTTTCGAAACAGAGAATACTTCTGAAAATCTCACCCCTGCATTTTTAGAAAGTATTTTTAGTACCTTAAAATTTGTACTGAGTGTTTGAAAGACCTGTGAGTAATTCAAGATCCTAGAACAAGGCACAGCATCAGTGAACTTGAGCTGGCGAGGATGCGTACAAATGAGAGGAACAGAGTTGGCTTAAATAACGTCATGGTTCATTTCAGGGATACGGGCAGGTATGTCTTCTAAGTAAGTGACTGAAAACAGCTACATGAAAGGAGAAATTCAGATGCTGTAAAATTTGAGCCAAACTGTTTTGCATGCTGCCAAGCATCTGTAGCTGAGGCAGGCAGCCTGCTGAGCTCATGCTGACTTTCCTCTTCAGACCTGTATAGGAGAAAAAAGTGAACATGGGGAGAGATTACACTGAATTTGCTCTTTTGTCTTCAGGTATCTTATCTGAGGAACTAAAGCGTGTGGTCAGCACAGAGAGAGAGATACAGGCTGTGATTCATCACAGCCGCCTAACTTAGACACTGAATTATTCTCTGGAGGGCTCTGTCTCTCCACTGGTGGCGAGATGCCTGGCCTCCTGTCTCAGGGCATAGACTTATGAACCAAGGTAGTTAAATAAGTGCTAGGGAAGTGACAATCTTCTCCATGCTGCCTGCTCCTCTCAGCCTCAGGGAGGCCAGGGGCAGCTCGGTGGCCCTGCAGCTGCTGTGTCTCTCAGCCCAGTGCAAAAGCACTGGCTGGTATCGTTCACTACTGCAGGGTTTGCATGCCCTGTGGTGGCTGACACGTGGGCATCCTGTTGATTGCTGTCAGCATCTCAGGTGGCTCTGGGCACCTCTGGGACCATTCCCTGGCTCTTGGTTGAAGCCTCTGCCTCGGCAGGGTCAGCCACAGAGCTGACCTCCCTCTCTGCCTGCCATGGGGGAGTGGGACTGGATCTGCTGCCCCAGGCATCATGCCTATCCCCTCCATCCTTTTCTTTCTTGGGGGTTTCTTTGCTGAGGTCTCTTGGCTGCCTTCCTGCCTTCCATTCAGAAAGCAGGGAGGGGGGAAGGAGCAGGCTAATTTCTTCCATGTTTAGAACCGAGTACAGGAATGCTGCTGTTTTCTGGCCATGGTTATACCTCACCGAGGGAAGAGCTCTCCAACTGGATTGCTCTGACCTGGCTGTGAACTGTTCTCATTTGGCTGCAAATGAGCATCTTGGGTAGTATGGCTGGGGGCTGCAGAAGAGCCCTGTTTGCTGCCTGGATTGCACTTTAGGAAAATCGCACCACGGGAGAAGGAAATAGTTTGGATTTTAATAAAGTCTACTTTATTTTGTGCCTTTTTTTTTTTTTTTAATTGCACAGCAAGCGCTTGTCTCAGTCTTACAAGTGAGTCAATTGCATGCAGGGCTGCAGCGAATTGATTTGAGATCTGTGGATGAAAAGCAGTGAATTACTGCCAAGCATTGTTATATTGTGGAAGCTTAAGGCACATTATGTCTAAGTATCCTCATTATTCCCAAGGAGAGGTCACTTTGCAGATCAGGATTGGTGCAAGAAAGGAAATCAGTTTGGGAAGAACAGAAAAGTGAAAAGTGCATTGGCTGAGGCAAACGTTAGAGTCCTTCATTTTCTGCTTGGATGTTGGAAGAGAAACCTTTTTCTTTAAGCTCTTGAGAAAAAAAGATGTGCAAAGCAAAACTCTAAGAATTTACTTCCACAGGGTGACTTCAAGCACTATCCTGCTGCTTTCATTAATGAGTGGGAGATGTTCACTTTAATCACTCTGCCTCTGAACTGGTTCCTCTGCCACGTAGGAGCAGCTCCTGGTGGTCTGTGTCCAAATGTTTCTTTTGGTGGCTCCTAAAGGGACTTACGAAGAAATTGCAAACTTCCTCATAACCTCCTGAGCGCCATTCGGGGAATAGAAGAAAATTGTTTGCATTTTTATAAGTTATGTTATACATTTCTCCAGCTGACTCATTTCAGTTTGCTGAGGAAACTTACACAGCCTTGCAGATGGTTTTTTTCAACCCTTCTTCTTAACAGCAGAAGTTGAAAAGTTTAGTCATTGTGAGAGGGGCTTCCTCTATCGTGCTGCAAAGGGCCTGGATTTCAGTCCCAACGTGCCACAGGCATCCAGCAGGAAACTGCTCTTTGTCTGGTCCCAACTAGCTGTCTGTTAGCTGTGCTCTGGGGCCCCAGGGGTTAATTTCCCAAAATCCTTCGCTAAAACTTGCTAATAACTTCCATATGTACCCATGTGTGTGCTCAAGAGGGGCCCCACAGCCAGCAGCTCTTGTAATAATACTTGATTACCTCTGACATAAGGGTCTGTATGTCATTAGGAACTCAGGATTCACCAAAAAACACAAGTTTGTGCAAAAAGCACTTTAAAAATTTATTAGCATTTGGGTATCCTCAGTGTTTGGAAATGAGCTTTTCTTAGCTAGTCAAGCTTCAAAGTAAAGCCTGTGTACACACAGCTGGGTCTCAGTTTTGACCCTTACCCTGATGTCCCTCCGAAAATGTGTGTTTGTATCATTAGTCTTTAAGTGTGCCAAACCCCTTAATTTACAACATACCTTGGTTAGGCAAATGTGATGTCTTTGTCTGATTGAGTTCATTTTGCACCAATTCTTTAGATGTTTGGCATCTGTACAGTTATACCAACTGCATGCAGTGGAGCTTTCTGCTTGCCCCGCGCTAGTCCCTGGTGCAAAGGCTGGGTTACTGAGGGCAGCCTTCAGAGAGAAAGCAGGTGTCAAGGGAGAGGGAGATGTGGCAGAGCTGCTCTGCAACTCTCGATGCCTCCCTGCGGAGCTGCCTAGGTCTCAGCATGCTCCTGCTGCCTTCTGATCTCAGCTGGGGCTGGCAGAGCTGGGGTTTTGATTCAGGCAAAGCAGAGTACTTCCAAACACTTCCTGTGCAAGGGCTGGCTCGATAGACTAGGACTCTTCATCCAGAAAAGAGATGGCTGAGGTCTGCGACAGAGATCTATAAAGCCTAAATGCCATGGAGTAGGTGACCACGTGTGTGTGTTTTCTTAAAAACCCAAGGAGGCATTTGATGAAATACTCAGGTGCAAGACCCAAAAGGAGACATTTCTTCATGTGAAGTGTATCTTAAGTTGTGGAAGCCCCTGCCACAGGCCACTGGCAAGGCTAACCTCTGTGTGGGTACAAAAAGGGATTAAATGGGGATTGATGGAGCACCTCTGGAGGAGGAAAAGCTGAGCTGGGAAACAGGGGAGAGGTGGGATCCAGGTGCAGCTTTGAGTTCTGTGCCTTGTTGGGCAGACCTGAGCTATGGCAGGAGTGTGGGAGCAAGCCAGCCTAAGCTTAGCCAGAGGCTCAGCAGCACAGGATGCTGCCCAGGCCAGCTGAGCCAGCGGCTTGGCAAGGAACAGCTGTGCTGAGCTCTGGTTGTGCTGAGTTCCTGTGCTGAGCTCTGGTTGCACATGGGACTCCTAGAACCTGCGCTGGAGCCCCTTGAGACCTGTACACCCACCATGCAGCGTGCAGTTGCGTGCTCCAGCAGTTTGGTGGCAGCCCCAAAGGGAGCAGGGCGCAGAAGCCCTCGGGCGCTTCTTCCCAGCTTTCACGAGCAGAAAAATTGGGACACCCATCTGATGCCTGGAGGCAAGCATCAGCGCAGGCTGAGGATAAAAACATCGCCATCATCCAGAGTGAGTGAAAGAGCCTGACTTGTCAGCTGAGGACACTGGGGGAGGCCAGCATCAGCCCAAGGTGATGGCTGGTTGGGGCAGAGCTGGGGGGTCCCAGCCTGATTAACTGCATGTCAGAAAGGAGCCGCAGAGCTTTGAAAAGCATAGCACTGGCAGCCTCCTAGATCTGCGTTTGATTCATCCAACCCACAGCAAATGAAAGGCATACACTTTTAAAGATTTTTGGCTCCTGCACTACCTGCTCTCCCAAGACACCAGCCTTGCCGTCAGAGCTCTCAACCTTTGAGCTGGTCCCAACGCCACTGAAATCAATGACCAGATTATTGTTCCCCTCTGAAGATTTTGGATTAGACCTCCCCATTTTGTCAGGCTGATGTGAGCAAATGTGGGTTTTCCACACTAAACGTAATCAAAACAAACCCTGCTCCCACTGGCTTGTGCAACAAATCATGCTGGGGGAATTGCTGGCATTCGGCATGATTAGCCCAAGCGCAGATGCCTTCCAGCTTGTAAACAATAGCCTAAAGGATTGGAGAGGATCACAAACAAAGCACTTACAGACAAGACAGCATTTTCAAAAGGGACTTGAAAGCTTATGTCCATTGGGGGTTTGTCTTTTAAAAATAAACCAGAAGTAAACAAATTGACAGAGGCGGCTCTGAAGAATCTAAGAGAATGAAAGTGAGGAGACCGGATATAATACTCCAAAAATTAAGCTGGGGAAAACTTAAGACATGGTTAATGGGTCCTTTTAAACTCCTCAACAAAATGTCCCACAGCCTTAGGATTGGGCCGACACTGGAAACTCCACCTGTCCCCGTGGATGAGGCTAGGTGGGGTGTGTAAGGGATGCAGGAGAAAACCCTGCTCCAATTCACAAGGAAAAAAAATCCCTTAAAAATGTGTGAGAGGAACAAAAGAATCAGGCAACTTGTGCTTGTTTTATGGTGATTCAGCGTGAAAGGAACATTCCCTCCCTGCACTGCAAGCTAGTGACAAATTGCTGTGAATTCCTAAGTGAAAACTGTTCAAGTCATGTAAACCAGAGTTTTTGCATTGTGCTTTTACTCATTTAAAAAAAAAATCTCATTTTTTATATAATATCTTTTAAGCATGGGCTGAATTATTTTCAGTGATGTCTTATTTCTCCTGGCCCTGGCAGAGTGAAGTAGCAAATGCCCAGCTTTGCATTCAAGAGCTCCTGCAAGGGGACAACAAAGTTCTTGCTGTTGATGGAGCTGGCTGCTCATTCAGACGCCACGGTGAATGGGAGCTGCGGTAAGAGCTTGCCAGCGTCACTGTAACTGAGACGGTGTTGCAAGGAATGCCAAGTCTGGAGAGGTGTGAGCATCCGTCACGCTTTCCCTGGTTCTGTGCGTGCTGGGAGCACATTCCTGCCGCAGATCCCTTTGGTTAAAAGCTTCAAGTAGCAGCTATTCTAACCACAGAGCATGTACATTAGCACCAGGTATGTGCCAAGTCCTTGCTGCTAGACTTTCAAGTGCATCTAGAGTTGTTACGGGATACGTGGAGTCTCAAGCCTAAATTAATACAGGTGCAAATCCAAATGTTCTAGATAGTATCCAACCCCCATGTTGTTAGTACTTTGGTACTGCTGTTGTACACTCTGCAGTACTGAGTTGGGAAGGACTGATGGTTCTGTTTATCCTTGGACTTCTGTGAAGAGCTCTCCAAGGCATTGGGATGGGAGAATGGAGTGGTGGAGAGCAGGAGCTGAAGATCTTTTCTTGCTCTTACAGACTGTGCAGGGAATCAGCCAAATACGAAGGCAACTCTAATGTACATGCTGAAATACCTAAAATAAGCCATGCAAACAAATCAGTCGTATGTTATCCAGATGGGACTGTTCAAATCCAATAATAGCAGTAAAGTGCTCCCGAACTCTGCAGAGAGAGAGATTATAGAAGGATCAGGTATAATTATAGTGCCTTATTATTACCATTCTCATCATTCTTTCTAACAAAGCTTTTCAATAGGATGAAAAAACTTCTTGCAGAAGAACGTAATGTGTTTGCTGGCATTTTTTCATTCTTCCCTCCAAGGCTATTGAAGTCAGTCCTGTAAATGGTGTTAATAAATATAGTAATGATCTTGGGCTATTATCTCTCAGACAAAACCTTCTTTAGCATTTCTTTATGGCCTTGACTACAGCAAACCATTCTGAAACATCTCACTGTTGCTACCACTAGTGAGAGCACCAGCAAAAACATCCCACTGTTGCTCTGATCCTTCCCTTGATACAAGCTCTTCCAAGTAGGGTTAAGCAAACAACCTTAAAATATTAGTGGCTGCAAGTGGCATGTCTATGTACTGCTCCATGTATTCCACCTGGAATATAGGTGGAATCATTCAGCAAATATTCTTTACTTTGGAGAAAGTCATAGAGCTGGAGGTACATCTATGCAAGCTGTTCTCCTCTACCCAAGTCCCGTCTCCTCTGAACACCATCAGTGCTTGTGAGAAAAGCCCAGGGTTATCAGAATCAGACTACGGGCAAAATGGGTGTGGAAAACGCACATCATTGTCTGCAGGTTGGTCTTGTGGGCTGGCACCACTCAGAGAAGGAAAAAGGCCTGGTATTTTTTCAGCACTATCCCTATCCAAGTCCTGGAAATATTGCCATTGAGGGAGCCTGTCAGTGCAAGGGAGCCATGTTCCCCATGGAGACACAGCCTCACAGCAGCTCTGAAATCCAGTGCAGACTTCCCAGTGAGGGGATTTCTCACAGGAGGGAAGTCTCCGGCAGCACTTCCACTTCTGCATCTCCCGCAGCCTAGGAGCAACTTAGTATGGGGAAAAGCTGTCAGTGAGCGTGCGGATGGTAAACACGCTACTGATGCATCTTGTTCTTAATCTGCAGCACGCCCTTCATTGCCTTCCTCATGGCCCTGATTCGGCAAATCCCTCGCACCTCTCTCAGCTTGGGGAGATCCCTGTGCCTGTATCAAGTGTTGCAGTGCAGGAGAGCCTTCATGTCTCCATCTTGCTCACCTGCAAGTCCCGGGCAAACCAGGAGAAGAGGCAATGCATTTTGAACAGATGCAGCAGGCTTGGAGGGGGACGGGTTAGGTTTGTTTCTTGGGCAGGGAGGAAGGGGCAGTTTACTGAAACAGGTCTTTCTCTTATCCTCTCCCCATAGCAAGCACCTTGGTAGAGCCTTGCTCTCAGCTCATGAAAGTAGGGCAGACTCTAACCACATTTCAAGCTGTCTGCGTTTTTGGATTCTGGGTAACTGTGATCTGTATCTGTTCCTAGAAGAGATTTAAAGAACTTATAAACCACAGCTGGGCAGAGATAATAAAGGAAGGAATGGTGGTGGGGGGGAAGGATCTCCCCAGGTTGGGGAGAGAGTGGTCTGCAGGAGAAGCCATGGGCCCTGCTATGGTAAAGGATCTCAGCATGACTACTTGGGCTGTAGGGGGACACAGAGGGGCTGCCTTAGGGAAACCTCAGCAATATTAGTAGCTAGGTATAAAATATGAGTACATGTATATGCATGCATATATATATCTCTCTAAAGAGCAAGTGGAGATATAATTAGCCACAGAAGAAGGAGTCTGGACCCTGCTATGGTGTCCATCTAGTCTCACCTTCCTGCACTTGTTCCTGTTGAGGTTATGTCTCCATGCAGACAGGATACACTTCCTCTTGCACTCCAGGGTTTTTTGCATTTCTTATCCTTGTTGGACCCACATCTATCATCCTGTGGTTTTCCAGGCAGAAGACACCCTTTTCACTGGAGGGGTTGGAGTGGGTTCAGGCTCAGTGCCTAACCTCCAGGCCCATAGAGAGGTTCACAAAACCTCTCTCAGTTCTCCCCATAGCCTATGGCAGCCTTGGCTGCTCCCAGTGTGCTCAGAAGTGCTCTGTAAGGGTTTGAAAAACAAAACCCAGTGGTCATCCTCTTGCATTAGGCCAAGACTACAGATCTTTGTCCTGTAGTTCTGTCAGCCAGAAATGTAAATGGCAGGTGGGAAATTGAGGGATGGGGAGGGAAGACAGAATGAAACACATTTCTGTATTGGCAAAAATCCTAGTGGAGGTGCAGTTCTTCCAGCAAATACTTTTTTCTTTATTTAGTTTGTATAGCCAGAATAGGGCCTGGTGACAAAAAGATGTTTTTCCACCCTAGGAGGTTGTGCTGTAACAGCTGTATCAGCCTGCATATTCTCCACAGTCCACAATAAAAGCAAAGTTGAATTAATAGAAAGAAAAAACTATTAATTTGCCAGCGAGGTACTTAGCTACTTAATACCTTCCCAACTTTCCTCCCAGGAGCTGGCAGAGGCCTGGTGTGCATGAGGAAAGCCGTGACAATCTAAAGCGGGGTGTGATTGCATGCATGTGTCTGCTGCAGGGGTCCATGCTGGTTCCCAGGGTCACTGTAGCTGTGCTGCAGGTTCTGCTTCTCAACATCCTGAGCTGGAAAGCTGCTGCAGGCCAAAGAAAAGGTTCCTGTTAAAAAAAAAAAAAAAAAAAAAAAAAAAAAAGGAAGACATAAAAACCAGAAAAAAAAGCAAGAAGAGGAGCAGAGGAGTGAATGAGGTGGTTTGGGTGCAGGGGAGTGTTGAACTCTTGACTTCTTGAACAAGCTCAGAGGGAAGGAGCTTGGATTTGGAGGTAGCCATGGGGCAGGCCTGGGTACCTGGTGGCAGTCGGAAGTTGTTGCCTGCCAGGTTGAGAGGAGCTGGGTCTGGCACAGCTGGCTGGCTCGAAGCAGGGCTTGCTGAGGCCCAAGCAGTTTTCCTGCACAGACAAGACCAGAAGGGCCATCTGGCGAGGCCATTGCTGGCAGGGACTGGTTCTGCAGCTCCCTTGCAACTGCTGCCATCTCGTCCAACATGATCTTCCCTGTGTCTGCACAGGACCCAGGCCCTGCCAAACCTGCCTGCCTCCCACCCTTTACCCCCAACAGAGAAGATGCACAGCCCTTCACTCAGGAGGATTTCAGGGCATGATGTGCACACCTCAAAGCATGCAGCTGGCGAGGAAGGAGTTGGGACTCCTGTTTTAGGAGAGCACTGCTGACAGCATGCCCTGCTCCTGCCCGGCATCCCACCCCCAGCACTTTTGCTGCTAATGTGAGAAAGTTTGGGCTGGCCTGGCCATGGCACCATGGGGCTGGTGACACATCCTGTGCCCGTGGGAGGGCTGTGTGCCTGTGACTCTTCTGCTTGTGCTTCCATGGGGACTAGCAAGGTGGGCTGCTGGGGCTGCTCACAGCAGCTGCACACCCTTTAGTGCAGCGAGTCTGTGGCTTTTTGTGGGGGCACTGATTTGAGCCTGCCCCTACTGAGGGTGAGCTGCACACCATTACCAGCACCTTGACTAGTGCAGCATCCCTGGTCAGTGGCATGAAATAGGTGCCTGGGCTTTGCTGGTGGTGGAAGCACCCAGGTGTGGTGCCAGGAGGCATCTGCACTGAGAGGTGTCATTCATAATAAAACCATGCTCCTCACTAGCGCTGGCAGGAGTTTTCAGAGCGCTCTTGGTGTAGGAGGGATGGCTTTTAAGTGACTGGGACAGACAGTGCCGGGGTGGAGGAAACGCTGGCAGCAGCTCCCTGTGCTTTGTTCCCTGGCTGGGGGCTGCTGCCCCCCAAAAGTACTCAGCAGAAGTAACTCGGCTGCCTCTGCCACAGGGGGCTGTGAGGGGAGCCTGCAGTGGAGGGGCAAGAGGTATGCGTGTGGGATGACAGGTCCGGGCTGCTGTGGGGACAGTGACCTCTGGCAGCAGCGAGGGGCGAGGAGGGCGGGAGACAGCGGGGATGGGTTACACCCACGGCAGTGAGGTTCATTTTCCTTTTCCGCACCCCGTCTTCAGCCGCTCCTGCCTGACGGGCGAACTGCAACCGCGGTATCTGCAGCTTGCTGAGTAAAAGTTGTTCCTCAAGCTGTTGATTACGGTTAATTACCATTAAATTTGCCTTAAATGGATCCTAGTTGTACTCGTTCACTTCGGGGCGGCGGCTGCCAGGTGCGAAACACAGTGGCTGCCCCGGTGCCCTGAGCCCGGGGTGGGTGGGTGCGGGAGGGAGGGAAGGAGGGGGCGGCCGGGGCGGCGGCGCCATCTTGTGGGTGAGGGCGCGGGGCGGTGTCCGCCGCCGCCACCGCCCCTCAGGCCCTGCCCGTCACCGCGGCACGGCCGGTCTGGGGCTCGGTGTCCCCCGGCGCTCAGTGTCCCCCCGCCTCAGGGGCTCAGCTGCCCCGCCCGGTGCGGGTGGACTGCCCGGGGGAAGCTTTAACCCACTGACTCAGGCAGACCTAACATGGTCTTTCTGCCCTGGTCCTATGTGAGCCCCAGGCACGGTCAGGTGGATGTTCTCCTGGAAGGTGTCAGCCTGAGAAGACAAAGGTGTGCCTCCAGGCGAGTTTCTGCTCGCCCCAGCTTGACACGCAGGAAGCCCATGAAGGAGAACCGTAGGGAGCACCACGAGGCTGAGGCATGGCCCCCAGAGTGTGTCAGGCCTGTGGTAATTTAGCCCCGGGAATCTTTCCAGCAGGTGAACAGAGAACAAGCAGGAGTGGGTGATTTCTGAAGCAGACTCGTTTTGCTGATGAAAGGGAATTAGAGAAGTGCCCCCTCCCTTCCCCACGGTAGTGTCAACACCTTTATTCTTCTGTTTTCCCATCAAGTCCCTGATTGTTCTCTTCCCTAAAGCAGTTCGATGGGTAGAAACATAGCGAGGGCATTGGCAGCTTTTGCATCGGCATCATCCAGCCCTGCTGAGAGGCACTCAGCACACAACAGTGGTAAAAATGCTGGCAGAGGTACGACCCCGCTTGCACTGGCTCTGCTATCACTCCTGCTGCCAGACAGAGGGAAACTGTACGCCTTGGAGTCTGGGGTTAGAGGAGTCAAAGAGATTGTGAATCCTCAGAGGTGTGCGTGTTGCCGTTGGCTGGCTTTCCAGCAATGGGGGATTGAGCTGGTCTCTGACAAGGCAGCAAATCCGGAGCTGCCGTGCTGGGGAATGAAATGCTCTGTGCAATCAGGCTCGTTGAGTTGCTGCAGCACTTCTCTGCGCCAAGCGGTGTTTCTCTTTTGGATGGTTGTGGTGTTAAACGCTTCAGCAATAAAGAGGCTTTGTTGTGGTCTCTGCAGCGTTGCTTTTGCCTTGGCTAGCAGCAGCCTTTTTGTTTGAATTAATACTTTCCCTGGAGTTGGCTGTGGGGGCATGTGTGGGCACATGTGTGTGTGTGTGCGCGCCTTTACTTGTGGGTGTACATTGGACACAGCTGTGAGCAGGCACTTATGGTAGGTGCAGCACTTGCCCAAACGTGTTGCTGTTTTCGCGTGCCAGAACAATGTGCCTTTCCTCATGGTTGGGAACGTTGGCCACCATTGCAGGCTTTTAACAGTCCTTGAGTGAAATTAATAGACACTTTTCCACCTACAAGCAGAAACTGTGGCTTGAACCTAGCCTAATCCTGTATTTATTCTCAGGAAGTGTCAGCATTCACTGCATTAAAGGGAAGACCAAGCCATACGGATCCTGGCCAGTCAGTGCTGCAGTGGGGTTATAGCTGGCCAGGCAGTTCCCTCCTCGTCATGCTGCAGGGACCGGCTCACATGCAGCAGTGTACTGTATAATGCATGAGTGAAGGTCATACAATGACCTATTGCTATGGAGCTTTGTAATTTATTTCCTTTGGCACAGGTATGCTGGTTAGTTCCACCTAAGTTTCAGGGCGATCAGTTCAGCCCCACTACAGGCTGGTAATAGAAACACACAACTCCCTGGCTTTTCCTCATCTTCCTCCCATTTGTGTCTCCAGGGTTAAAACTCAGTCCAGAATCCCCAGACCAAATTGAATTAGAATTTAACATTCAAAGATTCAGGCTCCCTTTAGGCTCTAAGGAACAGAATGTCATCCTGTCTCGCAGTTAATAGCTGCTGGGTAGTCGTTTCAAAGCCATTTCTTTTCAGTGAGCTCTACCATAGCAAATCCCAGCAGTGAATGTATTTCTGGCCTGGCTGTGCCTTTAATCCCACAGCTGAGTCTTATGTGTGATCTCTTTTGAAATGCTAGATCTTTTTTTTTTTTTTTAATTCCAGACAGCGATATTTCTAGACTTGGCATTTCGAGTGGCAACAGGGTCGTTTATAGGAAAAGAAGAGAAAGGACAGAAGGACGATGTTGACCTGGCAGCTCTACAAACCTACCACACTTAATCCACTTATCACTCTGAATTCCTGAAGCAGATAAATGCTGATAACAGTTAAAACACATCACTGACAGGAGCAGCATGTTCTGTCCTCTAGAAATACATCAATGCTGAAAATTGCAAAGCTGTGTGCTACCATGGGGATGAGTGTGATATAAGAGCCGAAGAAGCCCTCACTGTTCATCCGAGTTCTTCTACAGGAGGGTAGTGAGCCTTTGCTTCCTTCTCCCTCCCTGCTCCAACTACCTTGAGATGCTCTTCAGGCCTGAGAAATGCTGCTGAGCACTGTTGTGACCCCAGAGCCCCCCAGAGCCACAGCTGCCTGATCTGTGCCTCCATATATGAAATACCAATTGGGCCCCAAGTGTCTTGTTACCACTCTTGATTGTCCTTGCTGCTCAGCGTTAAGACCTGTGAGGAGCAATTTCCAGCTGAGACCAGCCCCGTCCAGCTCACATCAGCATGTCTTGGGGAGAGGAGTTGGTTTTGGCTAATCTGAGCTAAACCTTCCCTGGAGGAGTGCAGCTACTGCACCAGCCTTGCAGAGCCACACAAAGCCACTTGCTCCTCTCCCCATCTGGCAGGGCTCTCACCAAGGTATTGGAGCCATCCCTGGGGTCAGGGGGCCACAGTGGCCACGGCTGCACACCTCCCCCTGTTACAAGACCCCTTCCTCTTGAGGACCTGTCCCAGGCTGAACAGGAGGAAAAATGCTGTAAACCAAAGGTTGTTTGGAGCAGACCTCACTGCTACAAACTCTGGATGGACAAAACAAGTGATAGTGCTTTTGATGACGTGCAGTTTACAGGCTCCTCTGCTGCCTTAGGTCTTTTCCCCCATGGCCGTCCCCCAGCAGTCTCCACAGCACAGCACCCCGTGGGAGCAGGCACCCTTGAAGTTGCAGCAATGTGCTTTCTTGTGGATAGTGCAAATGTCTCACAAGAAGTGCGAAAGGAGGAAGCTGCCTAGAGAGAAGTGAAGATCTCTCAGACATTGGGGGGGGGGGGGGGGGGAAGAGTTTATGAGTCAGATGCTACTCAGCTGTTGCATTGCAGATGTCTTAGCTAAAAACAAGCTTTTGTTGAAATCAAAGACTCTTCGTGAGTATAGGCGGCAGGAGCCTCCCACAAAAAGAGAGTTTTCTTCTTCAAAGGGCTCTCCTTAGGTTTGACTACAATAGATTACTTAAAGCTTGCCTGCATTGCGAAGCTGATTCAGAGCCAGCATGGTGTGGATCTGAAGCATCCCAGCTGTTAGGGATGAATTTGCTGTCTGGTTGTTCTCACTTTGTGAATATGAGTGCCTTCCTCTGAAGGGACCTGGTGGAGGAGTTGGCTGTGGAGGGATGTTTTGTGGAGTCAGGAGTACAGTGGAGCCATTTCTCTGTACTGACTGCTGATGTGGGTACTGGTTTTCTGCACTGAAGACAAAACAGGGATCCCACACTTGAGTGTTCACATCAGTTTGGAGGGTGACGAAATTTGCTTTAAATGTGGGCGATATTTTACGGTCATCGGGAGACAAAGCTCTGTGTGTTAAAGTGCTTATGGTCTAATGTTTGGACACCCGCTGGTAGGTGTAACACCATCGTGGTAGTACAGAAATATTAACCCTGGTGCGGGGAGGAGTCTGAAAAGCAGAAGAGCTTGCATCTGCCAGGAACTGCTTGCCAAAAGCAGTGTGTGTACATCCTGCCTGTCCCTTCACAAAGGGGAGGGGATCAACCAGCTGCCCAGGCATGGAAATACCTGACAAATCCCCATCTCTTTTGCCTTTTGGATCTTCCTGTCTTGTTGTTTTCTTACAGCCTTTGACACCCATCATGGCCTCTAATCTAAAAGTCATCTTCCTCTTTCTTTGGTTGCTTCAGTGTGGAGGTAAACAAATTTTTTTTTTTTAAATTCCTTTTGTTTACTCTCATGTTTTTTTCATATTAGAGCATTTCCAGCTGCTATCTTTTGCTAATTTCCAGAGATCCCCTCTAGGAATTTGCACGCTGCTGCTATTTCTGTCTTTTAAGCATTTCAAAGCTGAGAGAGCAAATCCTCAAGAAAGGGGAAACATGGGAGAAGGGTTAGATAACCTAAATAAAATGGTTTGGCTTTTTCCTTGGCATGTTCTTCTCAAGCTCATGGCTCCTGGGATACTGCAAGAAGATAGATCTCTCCTCTGCTTTGTTACAGCAGTCCTTAGCCATGTCTTGTACAGAAACTATATTCATGTGTGTTCTGCTGGGTAGAGATGAGGAGAAGGATGATAAATGATTTTGAAAAATATGGCCCAGAAGAAACCACTTGGGTTATCACTCCCACAGTGTCTGCAGGATTTTCTGTGATTTCTTTCCATAATACTGTTCCTAGTGTACACAGGACTGCGTGTTCACAAAGAATGAGCATGTCCCTGCGGACTGTACTATATCTTGGTTGCTTTTACGGCCAAGAACCTTTTTCTAGTGATGTAAGCTAAGCTCTTCCTTACTCTCAGGCTGTTGTCCCTAGCTATGTGATCTGTAGAGAATTTTCCTTAATGGATGTTACTTCCCAACAGTCCTTTTTGGGCAGTGGCCATGCCCTCCCTCCATTGTTGCCCCCCCACCCCTTCCTCAGTGCTCGGCATTAAGCAGCGCAAAGTCTGAGTTGCCTTTTCCAATGCCAGATCCCGCTGTGCAGGGGTGATGCTGCTGTTGTGATGCAGTGTTAGTGCATGATGACAGGAAAGCAAGCCTGGCTGTGCTCTGGGACAGCTCTAATACCTTGTTATGAGCCTGTTCATAGATGCAGAACTCCAGGGAATCCCATCAAAAGCATGAATGAAAAGCCTGCCCATCCCCTACTTTCTCTCTCTACCCTTTTTTCCCTCTTCTGTTTTCACATCT